TTTAGCAGTGGGGGCGGGGCCTGGACGAGTGTGCCGGTGGTGGCTGCCAAAAATTGACGTGGCAGCCGCAATTGCGTCCCGACTTTCGAAATAGGATACTTTAAAGGGACGGAAGCAGCTCGGGACCGGACGCCTCGTCCACCTACCGTGTCAGCGAGCCTAGCGAGCCTTGTGGAAATCGCTATAACTTCCTTATCGCGCCATATTGAGGGATGAAAGTGGTATCATCTTCGTCAAGGCGTAGAGGGTTCCAAAAAGCACGAAGTCATTTTGAGGACCACTTGATCGCGGGGAGTGTCTTTAACGACTGATTGAGACGTTATCAACTAAACATTCAATGATGGCGTGAATTGACAGAGCTACTAGGTATAATATGTATTTCAAACTGCTTCAGCTATGACACTCACGTACTTCAGGCTGATTTCTACCACTCAATCTTCATGTTTTTGTACAGATGTGCTCGTTTCGAATACTTCGATGAGGATAAGTCGCCCACTTCATTGACGGCATCTAGTACCTAAAATCTGTCTCTTTTATCTTTCTTTTCTGTCTCTTTCGACTTCGAATTCGTTTGGGTCAGTACATGCAAGCCACCATACCACTGCGTCTGACCATGGAATTCACTGGTTGAAGGAAAACACCCTGATCTGGAATCCCTGACAAGACCCTGTCTTGTTTGGTCGCCGAGGTGGCAGTTTGGTCGAGCTGAGGAATCGGGAGGTTCCGTTCAATGAGAGCCATATGAATGATAGTAATTATGCACAGAGTACCTCGGTAATGGGGGGTTACTTATAAAGGTTTATACTAATTTCTGGTGCATACTTACTTTTTGGTTCTCATGTTATCCTTCAGTTGCATAAGTGGTCAGCATGGGCCCTCGGCCGATCTGTAAAACACATTCCACGCTCGCCGTATGGGCCAATCCCGTCCTACCATCGTGCCTTTCTCTTTTGTGCAGCACACTCAGAGGATAGAGAAGGACAAAACAGATCACAGGGCAGACCCGACTTCTCCCATACAATGAACGAGAGACTGGTTCCCAATAAGTGCTGATCAACTCTTTCAGAGAGGTTGACTGGCTGTCACAAATCCCATGCCCGTAGTTCTCAGCGTGATGAGAGAGTGGCAACGGTAGTTACTGCAAAAACAGGCTGCCCAAACCAACGCCAGTGGTAATGTGATTGGCCATGGTATACAATATTGTCCCCACTTCGACGTTATGTATTTTCCTCAGAAAGCCCAAGCAAGACTTACCTTATCGAGCATTTCTTTAGTATGAGATGCTGAAATGCAGAACCGACATCGTGATTCAGTCATATCGGTTCCCGGGAAAGAGACCACGACAACACCTATTCCGCGTGCTAACATCTCTCTTCCGTAGAACCTGAAAGATGGAAAATCTACAGAAATTTATCCTGATTGATCGAAATAACAATTTTGCCGTCGCAGTTGAGAAATTAAATGAATTTAACAAGCTCTTCCCCCGAAACAACAAGAAGTTTAGGCACGGGAGAGATGCGATCAGAAATTCACTCATTCTGTAGGAATTATAAGGTATGGCGACGCTAACTGTCCTCCTCTGTGGTCTGAAGTTTGCCTATAACTCACTATTCTTGCGATAACATTCGGAGCGCGAACTACGGCGTCAAACAGCAGTAACTATTGGAACAGGAGACTTTAGAACAAATCCGAGCAGGAACTCCTCTAGATTTTCTATTCCCTCTTCCTTCGCAAATTGTGTTTTTCAGGTTCTTACTTCGATGTACCTACGGTTCGTGCAAAACTTCCTTCGAGTTTTCATCTTGCCGATTTCAGCAAGAACTACAAGAACTGAAATGAGGCGAAAGAAGATGCGAAGACATAGAAGGAAATCTCATCGAACGCGTCGCGTTCCGCTATGAGTTGAATGTAGGAGAATTCCAAGCATTGTAGATCACGTGAACGTTTGTCCCTTTGCTCATGTGTTCCCAAAAATTTTTCCCCTCTGCGTTTCTTTCGTGGCAGCCTCCATATTGCTGCATAAGGAAACCTCGTATCAGGGGGTCGTCACGAAAACGTTCCTCGGAAGGCAAGTAAATAAGAGCATGAAGAGGCGAGCATAGGTAGGTTAATCGAAACTCACCCGCATGTAGTGGGATAGTAAAACACTACAGGCACTACAGGGCTGTCGTCACTGCCGTAGACGATGAATCCCATTTGCTTGAGTCGCAATCGGAAATATCGTGAGTTCCTAGCCAATTGTTCAATCCGTCGAGCTCCTGAAACGGGATACCTCTCATTTCAAGGAATACTATGTGTTTCTATCATAGGCTCACAGGTTCTGTGGATTAAGGGTACATTCGCGCTCTCATTCGTTATGTAGAATCCCTCAAGCTCGCAGATTATTCACATGCAGCATTGCGAAGTTGTACCGCTTTTGCATCTTGACAGTCAGTTACATACGGCGATGTTACGCTAAGCGCCACGTTCAAAGTTGCTTCGATCCATTAGGAACGTGATATATGCACCTTATCCCTGAGACGGAGTAGGCGTGGCATTTGGACATGGCATAGGATGGGTTACTCGTGGGATATTTCCAATTTGAGACAACTGCCATCTTGTTCTGCGTTGGATAAAACATGACCACAAATGTCTCAGAAAGGAAATACCTCACCAAGGGCACAGTCACCACCACTCATCCTTGGTTGAAGTACGCCACGCCTACCGTCTCCTCTCGGGAATTTTGAGAGTAGAACGGGATGGGCTACTTGTGGGATACTCAACTTGAGACACTGTCATCTTGTTTTGTGTTGAACAAAGACATGATTTGAATGTCCTAAAATAAAATATCCAACGAAAAGCCGCCAGGTTTGAAGGCAAGATAAAACCCCACACGTGTAGGATGAGTACGCCTGACAGAACAGAATTCGGCGCCCCTGAACAGGTGCTGCCTTGCGCCGTTTTGTAAGGAAGGTACCCCTATAGCGCCCTATCAAGCTGCAACATACCGACCCGGACACCCACCGCGCCCGCCCGCCCACAAATGTCCGACCTGATGCTCGTATCGCTTCATTTGCGAAGTACAATATGAAGCGAAGGGATTGATATGAAGCGCTGCGGTGCTGCATGGATATATGAGTACATACATGCAGCCGTATCTACCGTAGCGGTTACTGGCACGATGCCAACGGGAAACTCGTCCGAAATTGCTTTCTGAGTCGTGTAGAACGAATGCTTTTTGCAGCTTTTTCACTTCGCTTTTTCTTTTCCTCACTATACAGCTCCCCTGCTACCATTTGAGACCAAAAATCAAATCACTGTGCTTTCGCCTTTAATTCAAGTCTACCGCATCCCAGGAATTTTGAGTGTACTAGAAACACCATACTTATATCTGCATTGTGTTCAGTCCCGTTCAGGACAGTCGTTGGGAACACCTTTGTGTTTTTCTCACAGTTGCCTCTGCAGTGGGCAGTGACTTCTTTGGACAACTGCTTACCTATGGCCTTATCTAAAGTGCTTTTAACGATTTGTTTGTTTTCTCCACTGGTTAATCAACTATCTGCGAATTGCAACTAGCGATCACGGAATCTGTTTTCTAGGTGCCTCACGTCAATAACGGCCATTTGGCCCTGTTCGTGGTCAGAACGTTCAAGTCCCTATGAGTACAATATTGGATTACAGGTGCAAGTCTTACAGGAAGCGGACAGGTGGAGGGGCGTGAGATGGAACTCAAAGTTTTCTTCCAAAAAAGGTTATGTAGGATTACTGCATACTCAAGCGCTTAAAAATGCGATCCTGAATCAAAACTAAATCTCTAACGTATACCACTTGAATCAGCCCCAAACTCTATTTTGATTTTACCGTCATTGGTTCCGTCCTTGCCCATTATGATGCTCATCGACGTGTAGATCTGCTGTGCAACAGGAGGCGACATTGGGCATGAATAGTATCCTGTAGGTGAATTCACTCGGAGATGATCGATTACTTTCTGAAACAGCGTCTTATGCAATAGGTAGCTTGGTTCATTAATCTTCAAGGAAATTTTGAGCTCTTCCGTCAGCATTATTTGTCCCATTCCTTAGAAAGCAGTCATCGTTGTCAAGACAGTGAATCAAGGGACATCAAGACGAAGAAAATGAAGCAAATGTCCTTCAATAAGAGCTCACGTTCGCGCACACCGCGGGGTCGCTCCAATGATGTATCCTACGCAAACTATTGCTTGAAGACAAGCCTCCACGATGGCATATTGTGGATACAGGAAGAAAAAACAAAATCCTGGTGAAGCACTAAAAACCCCGGCAGCCCCACTGTACAAATTCTTCAGGCCTGCTCGTTTATGCGAGCAGCGAAACCGTGCGTTTCTGGCTCACTGATCGTTCATCTGTCTCATGCGAATGCCTAGTACACATCTAACCATTTAAAAAATGAAACAAGAAGACCGGTGTAAACTCTGTTTTTGTGACAGGATCTGGTGGGTGGGACAATTACGAAGGCGTCAGAACTGCTACTCATTAGAGCCGCAGTGCCTTCGTTAACGACTGTGAAGGTCTAAAAAAACTGATCATAGAGACTGCGGGTGAGACTACTTGAACAAGGATGATGTCTACGAATCAGTTGAGCGCCGGGACTCTCATTGAGGCCTCAGCGTTTGGTCGGTTTTTTGTTGATGTAGTGCAAGTATTGACCTTGAGACTCAAAGCTCAATAGATTGATTGACCAAAGGAACATGTTTAGGCGAACATGAAGGCCACGACTCTCCTCCAAGACTTATCTAGTGGCGATGGCAGTGATATAACTGATTACAGTCTTGAGTGCGAGCCCTTTTTTTAGCCCTTAAACACGCTTTCGTTGATAACTTCGTTGCAAGGCTAACCATAAGTCTCGTTTTCTAGAGGTACAGTAAATGAATTTTCTTACCTTTGAGCCTGCAATATATCCACCTGCAGCGCCAAAGCTTTTTGTGAACGTGCCCATAAGAACATCAACGTCCATGGGATTACATCCACTATTAACCACCCCACACCTCTCCCACTGGATCCCATCGCACCTGAATTAAAGTTTTCCTATTGTACATTACCCTTTCCCAGCAAATTTAGTCATACCAAAGGCTGAAAAGCACATTTTTGCTCAACAGGTACTACTTGAACGCGTGTAGTGTAACAGCGTCGTTAGAAATTGCTTAGCAAGGAAGTCAGTGATTTGCGACTCTTGCGAAATTCTACCTCGCTGCCTGAAGCGCCACCCATGGCTCCCTACCATACTTTGATGTAAAGGACGTATCTTCTCCTCTCCTTCATTGTTGAGTCGTATAGTATTCAAAAATCAACGCGTTCCCGTAACTGTCCACGTGTTTCCAACGTGAAATGTGCCTTTTTCAGTTGCCGCCACTGTTCTCTCCCAATCATCAATGCCCTTATCTATAATGTAATGATCGCTTCAGAAAAACAAGCTGACCTATTGAATGAGCTTCGTCTAGATACAGATAAGCGCCCGTACTTCTTTTTCAAAGCAATCACTTGGGGAAGATTGCAGATAGATCCTTCCATTGAGTAGATACCTGGAATGGAACACCTTTTTTTCTTAAAACCTCTGGATTCGACCGGTCAATTGATTCACCGTTTTTGGTGATGTTGCTTTATGTGACCTCTATGAATCATGAACCTAAAAGGAGTTGAGCTTAGAAAGCTCTTCAGGAATGCCACTTACCTTCAACAATGATCAAAATTTTCTTATATGGGCGATGTGTGTTCGGGTTGCCATAGGCAATAGCATTGCGCAAAATTTTCTCCAGTGAGACCGATATCTGAACAAGAACGGGGCAGGTGTTATGCAAGGTCGTACTATTGAGAATAAATCCACAACACTTGGCACAACTTGCGAATAAAAACCTGTATTCTTGGCAGCGGTGGAGAAGTCCTAATCGCAGCACTCTGACAAAAACAGTACATTCACTTCCGTGGATCCTGGTCCTCGCCATGTGTGAGATAAATGGGTCCGCAGCTGCAGTAGCGTGCCACCTTCTCCGTTCAGAAGTGCATTGGAACGGGTCGGACGGTAGCGATACCCGAGTGCCGATCCTTGACTCCGCTTGCGCTGCCGCACGCCCAGCCACGCACCTAATCATAGTCGCACTGCTTGTTTGCACCCTCTCACTTCTGGTTGTTCTCTACCGCTGAGTACTGTTTCTTAACGGGACCTTGGCATCGATGCAAGTGCTGCACTGTAGCGGGGGCGGAGTCCGGAGACGGCACCGACTCTCACCACCCTTCACCCTCATTTCCGTCTCTTAAAGGCAGTTGCCACGATAGATCGCTATAAACAATGTAGGATTTATACAACTGCCTTAACAGAGTTCCGTGACCTCGGACAGGGGCTCCGTGGCGCCTTTTCCGAGGAAGTACCTCTATAACGCCCTATCGAGCAACAACATTCCGTCCCAAACGCCTTCCTCGCACGCCCGCCCACAAACGGACGACTGTTCCTGAGGCTCGTATTCACTCCTTGCTAAGCAAAGAAACAAAGGGTTTGGTATGAAGCGGCCGTGATGCTGCATGCATATATGGGTACATATGCAGCCGTATCTTCGGTAGCGGTGATTGGCAAGATGCGTACGGGAAACTCGTCCGAAATCGATTTCAAGTCACTGAGAACGGAGGCTTTTTCTTCGCCGGATTTTGACCGTTTCACTCCGTTCTTTCGCCATTTCCCACTACATAGCGCCCTACTAGCATTTTAGGCCGAGTGGGAACCATCGTGCCAACTGCCTTTAAGTGACGAAGGTGCCATTTGTACTGTCGGCGGCGCGGTCTTCTCGAACATGGCAAGGACTGTCCCCGGTTGTGAATGTACAGTTTTGTAGCAAATCTAATTATAGATACACATGCTCCGCATGTGATATTCCTGATAGCAGGTTTCCTTAGTTTGTTTCTTAACTATTAAAGCATGTATGTAGGTAGTGATTGCACTAACCATTGTGCTTGAAGACTTTTGTCGAAGCACCAGAAAGGCGACATCCAAGTATAAGCGAAGCATGATTGTGTTGGTCGGAAATGATCAAAGAGTGCTGAAATCACTGTGAATCACTTCTCTCTTATCAATCAAAGCCATCGTCTCTGGTGAGAACTGATTAAGCATAAAAGTGCTCACCGCCCGGAAACAGTCATACCTTATCGACGAGACACGGGGCGTTCATTGAATTCGTTGCAAAGCCCATGCTGAAAACAATCGCGTCTTCAACATGAAGGAATTCGGCGACGAGCTTCTCAAGTTTGTACTGAGAGACGAACGGCCTGAATATCTGCTTGAAGCCTAGGTGCTTAACATGAAATTGATGAAGCTTTAGACGTTAATCAGTCCCTTTCGGGATGTGGAACGCATTTCGTTTCTATTCAGAATTGTAGTTGCATTTTGCATGCGTTATGACCTCTTCAATGAGTTGCGGGGGCCAGAACGGTACCGAAGCAGTACTTTTTAAGAACCAGGACAGGACAAGATTGATTCTTGTTTACCAGCACGGGAGTTATGGAAGGCATGTGAGCTTCAGAAAGATTCGACTACACCACCTGAGCCTCCATACCACATATGGGTCTCTGGATGGCGCAATATGTTAGTTCTCGCCGTCATTACTATTATTCTGCATAAAACCTTTGAGAAATCCGGTATTATGACATCGGTAGCCCCAGCAAAATCCTGGGCAGTGTCATCCTAACAATTAGACGGCTGGCATAAATTTAGAAACTAGGGCTCAATTAAGCATACTCCACGTCTCTAGAGCGAACATGTTTTGCCGTTTGAAGAAATGGACATTGCTTTTCTTTCACTGGACAAGGGTGTCACAATGCGTATAATAGTTTGGTTACGGTCTTGTTCGTGCTGGCGCGGGAGCGTTTCAGAGGGCCGTATTTGGCGCAGCGCCAGGATGTTGCATAGAACAAGTCTGTCGCCTAATCAGCTGGAGGTGCCGCACTTGCAAGGTTTGTCCACAAAAGCTGGATGTGTCGAAAACTGCCGGGAGGCAACCGATGTGCTAAACATTTGGCTGTCTGTTCTGTTTAGCAGAATTGAGCCCATACGTTTGAATCAAAAATGGTTACAGAGCGTATTAGGGGTTTCTTAGATTGGAAGTTCGACTCTCCGCTGGCTCTAACACTTATCACTCACTGGAATCTGAACTATCAATTCCACCCTTGTGTTTCTGTCGAAACGAGTAAAGGTAACAGAGAAAGGGTGAGGCGAAAAATCCTTGAAGATTCTCATTCTTTTCGTGACACACACACACACACACACACACACACACACACACACACACACACACACACACACACACACACACACACACACACACACACACACACACACACACACACACACACACACCCACACACCTCCTCACAAGCTGCAGTACTACAGCTCTCCCCAGTGTACTGCACAGTTATCCTATGGGGACCTGGCACGTGTTTAAAGGATACGCAGGCTTCGGCCGGCCGACGCGCTCCTTCGGCGCGTGGAAGTGGTCCGGTGTGAGTTTTCCATGAGTGATAGAGCCAGTCGATCGGCCAGCTTCGCCGGCTGATCCTCTTTCCGCGCGTGAAGTGGGTCCCGGTGAGGAGAAGTTTTCCACTAGTGGAAAGGCCAGTCGGATCGATGGATCGAAAAATATTGTTCGAAGATTCAGCGGCAACATTTAACGTTTCATCACGGCTCACTCCCCATTTTGTGTGGTTTTCTTCGTAAATGCGTTTTGAAGGATTTTTTGTCCTTGTGGCATAGTTCACTTTGGGAACGCCGCCGTCGCGTCAGGGGTGTGCTTCATTGATTTCGACCCCCGTCCGACTTCGTTTGCCACTTTTTCCGCTCTCGGGGCTCTTTTGGAACCGAACTGCGAATTTTGAAAGTTTCGTAGCAAGCACCGCCCACCTATAGAACGCCCCGCCCAAAGTGGGTGTGTCTCACTCATTTCGTCCGCCAACCGATTGCCTATCGTTTGCCACTTTTTTCCGCTCTTGGGGCTCTTTTGGCACCAAACTACGAATTTTTGTTTCTAGCTTTGAATGTGCGTACTCCCCGCCCACAGTGGGCGGTGTCAAGCTTAGTTCATGTGTGTCCCGCACATCTTGGCCCATGCCCTACCTGTAGCTACACGCTACCTTTTGTACTATGTCTAGGGTTGGTTAGAGTACTTCATTATTTATTTAACATGTTCTTAGTCAGTTAATCAATTTCCTCATGTTGATCATTCCAGAAGATGTTTTCAACTTCAGCTAGCGAACAAGGACTGTTTTTTCATGGGCCAGCTGCACCGAAGGCGACGGTCCTCACTGTATATAAGCAGCGCTGGCTGACTCATGGCGCCCTTCTCAATTCCTCAATCCGTCATCCTCACCAATCGGCTTTACGACTGTTCAATAGCCCGACTCTATATTCGTCAGTCAATAAGTACGTATTTACTGATTCGTCAGATTCGGCTTCAACATCCAATAAGTACTATACTTTCAGAAGGCCTTCATCGCTTCGTCTGCAATACTCGTCTCGGCTCGCAATAATCTACCACTACGGAAGAAGACGACACCCAGTTAGTAGATTGACTAGTTATTCAAATAAATATATATAGAATTATCTGTAATTTACTCAATTCAGCAATATCGCTGCACAATATCTCAATACTTCAATATTAGCAATACCGCGTGGCCAGTTTTGTACTGAAGGGCGAGCAGCACTCCCACAATTTGGTGCATCGGTTACCTGCGAACTCAGGTACGTCAACTACGTTCTTTACCGGAAAATCAGGCGGTTGCTTTTGGATTCTTTTGCTATCAACCGCATTTATTTCTTCCTTTTTTTTACTTTCAACTCTTCCAATACTCGGTTTTTCTTGTCAATATTGGCCCTCAATTTCAATAATTTGGGACAATATTCGATAGGCAATACCTTCACCGCAATACGTACTGTTTCGGGACCCTCCTTGGCGAAGAATGTCGAGTTCAATCGCCACGAAAAAGCGACTTTTAACAGTCACTATCGGCAAACTCGAGCATATCCTCACTGCACTCAAACAGGAAAAGCTCGAGGACACTTCCTTGGATCCCGATTTGCCAGATAATGTTCGACTCGAGAACATGCATGGATTGGAAGAGGGCATCTGTGCCGTCGAGTATTCGATGGCAAAAGTCGAGCAAACTCTCAGCGAGTTAGCGGCTCTGTTCGATAACGTCGATCCTTCCGGTAAAGAACCCACTGATTTGGAGGAGTATACAACCAGGAGCGAGACGATTCTCAATTCCGCCTTCGATTACCTATTGATTTTACGGGCTCGGCTTCGGATCCTCAAGTCCTTGGGCCCTCAACCACTGGATGTTCCACCAGAATCTGACATAGCAGCACCAGTAACGCCTGCTAAAATCAAAACTCTGGATCTTCCACCTATCCCTATCCCTACCTTTGCAGGCAATATCTGGGAATGGGACAATTTTTGGGAAATTTTCAATACCAATATTCATTCTCAAGAGGTTGCCGATATGGTTAAGTTCAATTACCTGCTGAATGCTCTGAAGGGCGAGGCCAGAAACTCAATAAGAAAATTCCAGGTCACGGGGGACAATTACCATAGAGCAATACAGTTTCTTCACAATAAGTACAATAATAGAGACGTTTTGATCAATGCCCTGGTAGAGAAACTGGACAATTGCTCCCTACGTGGTCAGTCTACACAGGATCAGCGCCACCTTCTGGAGGAACTGCAGGTTATCATAACCCAATTAGAGGAAAAAGGAGAGGGGGTAAATAACTCGTGGCTCATCAAAAAGGTGTTGTGCAAATTCCCTGATTCCCTCAAGCGTAAAGTGATCATGAAGAAGCAGGGTCTCTCACCAGCTACCTCTTTCACTATGAGCCTACTCCTCCAATACCTCGACGAAGTCATAACCGCAGAAGAAATGATCCTAATGTTCACGGAGCCGAAGACGAAGCAGCCAATAAGGGACAATATCTCTTCTCGCAATAAACCAGGTCCCAAGGGCCCCATGAAAGGAGTGTGCATGTACTGTAAAGGTTT